AGTAAAATGGTCAGTAATTGTCTAAGTTTTGCAGTAAAGACACTGCAATGTCAGTAATTGTCTAAGTTTATCAGTAAAAAATGGGAATGTCAGTACATTTCTGGCTTCGTATTGAGAGTCATGTGATATAGCAACAAATGTATTCATATGTACATGTAGTTGAGAGATCCCTTTGTGCATATTGTCTGTATTTATGCTCGTAGTCTACATATTGAAGTCAAAACCGAACTGGATATGTTATGATATATTTTGAATGCAAATTAATGCTTCGGGCAGCCTTAACATAGATGCGTATGGAGATGACTTACAGTATTCAAACTCCATTTAGACAATACAAATCGGGAGCAGAGAAAACACGGATCTCCAAAAGCACCAGAGGTGGGATCAGGTGCCATGGAGGAATGATCGGGAAAAAACGGAAAAAAAATCCGTAGACAATTCTGTGTGTGAATGATGGCCTAACAATTAGTATGAAAAATTCAGCATTTGACTTAACATCTACTTGCAATATTGCTGTCTCTTACTAAATGCAAATTAACTTTTGATCCACTTAAAGTAAAGCTCCATTCTTTGTACACAATAAAGGTCAAAGTCTTATTAAGAGGAGAAAGGACAAATATGGTGACATCATCTGCTGATTCTTTGAATAGTTTGGCATTGATTTATTTTTTTAATCGCCGAAATATCTGAAACTGTTGGTTCAATTATTTCCCATTTTGACAAATTTTAATATGGATTCCATTTCAATCATTTGTAAAGATGGAATGATACATTTTCTCTTAAAAGAACTTAAAGAGTAGCATATGTACATGTGCAATTTCAATTCTAGGCTATGATTATTGTATTTTTAATCATATTTTACTCAAATTTACTGGTATTAATATATTTTACTGAAATTTAGTAAGAAAAACTGTATTCATAAAAAGCACAACACAAAGAATGAATCTTTAAAAGGTCCAATGTTGGACCCCATAATTTGCAAAAAAATCAAATCAAAAAATTTCGAATATTATTGCCTCATCCTTTTCTGCAAACTTTGTTGTTAATTAATTTCAAATAAAAACTTCCAAACACTTTAACTAGGCATTGTCCCGATTTATATACATGTAGTAGGATTATGTTGTTTACATCGATTTCTCATAGATTTTAGACCACACCTCCATTTTGCTAGCCTATTTTCTGTATGAGCGCATTGATGTTTCAAGTTGTCGTAAATAAGTTTCATGAAAACGGTTATCAGAATTATTCACATTCCAAAAAGAAGTTAAAACAGTCGTGCGTTAATTTATTATTCGTTAAAAAATGCAAAAATCTTTGGTACTTGTTTCTTTAGTAAAGCTACCTTGTTTACGTATTTCAACCCGTCTTTGACCTCATGAATAACAAAGCACTGAACACGTGACTTATAACTCTACTCACTTACGTTCACGCTCTGGGCACACCTATGCGACATCGTGACCAATGTTTGCGATCAATCGATGGTCAAATCTTTGTCCACTGGGTAAAATTCTAGGAGAAGTCTACGATTTGAAATATATATTTAAAACGTACATACTTGATTTATCTATATGCTGGTTTAAGTTTTTCTATTTACTTGTATATAATTGCTATTTTTGCCAATTTTCGCTTTTTTTTTTGTTAATATCTATCGATCTACTGTTTGGGGTCTATAGCATACTAGTACGGATAGCACTTACTGCTTATATTTTATTAATATTAAAATAACTCTTTGATTGTGTTATTGCTATCTCCTTTTCTTTTTCAGATTTCAAAGAACTGTATTTATATATATTATGCTCGTGCCTCTGTTCCTAAACAAGCATTTTTTGTATATAGCCATATACATCAGTACTGCATACATTAACTGTTGGAAGATATAGACGTTTTATTTTCAAATTTTAAAACTGACATTAATTTTATAAACCATAATTGGAAAACCGTGCCATGCGCATGTTGCGTCAGTTCTGTGGTATATAGATTTCAGAGTCACGCAAAATGCTTCAGAGTCAAATTATGCCCGATAGCTTTCTGCACTGTGCAAAAGACGCTGCCACTGTTTCCAGCAGCGATAATACTAGCACTTAATTACAATTAAAAAAAATATATTATACAAAGAGCGTAGTTCAATTCAACCGCATATTTGTCGGATCACTCTGATTTTGCAAAATTATATGTTTACTAGCATAAGTCTAGAAATACATGTACACGTAAATGTAATTAGATCAAATTAATTAATTATCTCTTTAGAAAAAGGGTTTCTATAAAATTTGAAAAATAGTGTATCCTTTGTAAGACGTTCTGTTTACAGATTCCATCGTGTATATACAGGGTACATTTTAATTCAACAAATTAACTTCTATTAACTCATTTCAAAGATATCTCGTAAGTTAAGCAGTGAAAAACAAAACCTAGACCTGCTAACATTTTTATTTTTATTTATAATTTGTCGGTCCCAAGCCCGAAAAAATAAGAGGGACTTAGATTGCTTTCTCTAGCTATCATAAAAAATTATTACACCTCAAGCACACGCTGATTGACGCTCCGCCCTCTTATTCAAATAATACAATGACCTGCATAGCCGTAATGGCGAAGTCGGTAGTTCGCACTGAAGTAGGCAATTTTATTTAATCGATGTTATGTTTATATTGAGAGTCTTTCTCACTATATATATATATATATATATATATATATATATATATATATATATATATATATATATATATATATATATATATATATATATATATATATATATATATATATATATATATATATGTATGTATGTATGTATGTATCTATGCAGACAACGCTCGGGGCTTTTAGCTAAAATATTACAATGTTTTCGATTGAAAAGGTAAAATTCGGTCTTTAAAAGGGGGCGAGATCGCAGTGCTATGAAGATTCTTTCTTTGCAATAGATTGTTTGGTAATTTTTAAATAATGCACATACTCGAGTCGAATGTCTGATTTCACAGTCTACTTACATGGGTCTGATAGGCCATCACATTTCAAACTCTGTGGGCAAAAATGTGTTGTTGCATTTCTTTCATATTACCTATAAAGAAAGGTTTTGTTTCCTAGAACAAAATTTAAAAGTTTTTAAAAAATTGAATTTGAGGAAAACTTGTCAATCTATTGTGTACTACCTTAAAGCCAGTTTTGAAACAGGAATAACGACAGGTTTGTTATTGTTTACATTGCATTGTTCTAACACCTTAATTAGTAAATCTTCGCATTTTTGACAGAATTACAATATATATTAAATACATTGTTTCAAAACAAAAGGAATTTCACAAAAAAAAAAAAAAAAAAAAAAAAAAAAAAAAAAAAAAAAAAAAAAGAATAAACCAAATAATATGCCAATACTTCGGCAAATATGTGAAGAATCAAATCTGAATTTAAACGAAATTTTCCTTGATTTTTCCGTAAACATCATTTACATCAAACTATACGCCACGTAAATCTGCACTATATGCTAACATCTCAAAAATTTTGTTATTCGTATATAGAGTAGCAGGCACATAATTATGCGTACTTAACAGGATAAATTTAGTGTTTTATAACGAAGTAGAGGCATTTCGAAGGCCTTTCTACCCATTAAAATTTGGGGGGAAAAAAGAATTTTAAATTAAAATTCAATTTTAGCTAAATGAAATATTTTTTGGTTTTGTTAATAGTTAACGTATGCAGATACTCAAAGTATTTCCCTATGCGTGATTGCAGGGAAATATATTATGAAGACACTAATATTTCTATGTGACTTGCATGTTTGTAAGGATCACGTAGTAACAAAATATTTTCCCCACTGTGAATGTTATATAACAACTAAATTCAATGTCTTTTGATTTCATAGCAAAAGACGCTTTAATGACCCTCTATTCAATGAAGAAATATTTTTTTCGGAACTTTGAGAAAATTATATAGCGTTAAGAAACATATTAAAATTAAATAGTTCATTCTAACATAATGCTTTCTTGAGTTTAAATTTATAAGCAATTTGGTACAAAATCAGATTAATATTTTTATAGTTATACAGGTATCATATGATATGATGGCAGTATGTTACCGAAATTGTGGTATATCACGCTATGTTCGTTATATATATAAGGAGATAATAAAGAGAAAGGTAACATTTTCTACTGGTGTTGTAAAATCTACGTCACTAAAACCAGGTGAGAAAACATACTACAGTGCAGGAAACTAATTTTGTTACAGCATCGATGCTGATTTGAATGCTTCCTTTGCTTGCTGATTTGAATGCTTCCTTTGCTTGCTGATTTAATGCTACTAATCCTTATCCTGATGCTGTTTTATAATTAGGTCAATGCTACCGGAAGTAGCATCATGCTACCGGAAGTAGATAATGAATTTCAGCATTGCCGTTTAAAGCAATAAAAGTGCCTTTTTGATCATAATATCTCACTATGTATTAATAATGTGAATACTTTAACCAATATTCTTTCTTTCTTTTTTAATTTTTTACTGAATTAAAACTCATTGATTTTCTGATGCTAGTAGGATAATGCTGATTTTATGTAGGTCAATGCTGGTTTTATCCTTTGCTTGCTGATGCTGATCCTGGTAATGCTGTTTTTTAAATGCTGATGCTGATGCTAGCTCGATCCTGATGCTACTAATGCTTATGCTGATGCTGGTTTATGTAACAAAATTAGTTCCCTGCACTGTACTGTCTATTAATTTTACTGATAATATATCAAGGATAATCTAGTTTTAATAAAAAAAAATATATAGGCTTTGTAACTATCTGTAGAGGACTAAAATAATCATTGCTCAAAAAAAAAAAAAAAATCTTTGTGCCTGTATTTTGCCTTTAAATGTAACATGAAGAAAATGCATTTCCGCTCAAATAGTGTTACACTTTTGAATTATTGAAATTGGACCAGAAATTACTTTTGAAACTTCTAGTATTTTTACATGTTTCATCTAAAATATTTGAGTCACAAAATCATTTTTCCCATAATTACTTATCATCTTATAGAATGCATTTCTTAGTATTTGTTGTGGGATTAAGTGCAATTCTTGGCAACATAGCTACTGAGAAAGTGTCACCTCGGCCAGGTCTGAAATCCTTCAGGGACGACTATGACAGTGTTGCCAAAACATGCATGGCTGTTGGATATGTAAAAGATCAATGCAAAAATAACCGAGACAGAAGTAAGTAAATGGGTAAGATCTCAAGATATGTATTTTGTTCATAAACATGCATGAAACAAAATATACTAAGGGTTTTACAACATATTTTCTTAGGAAACATGGCTGTAGCATTTAATGCGAAAGCCAAAGGAAGTGACAGGGCAGTAAGTAGTGGGAGCATTGTCAAATTTGGAGACGTCGATCTGAATATAGGAGGAGGTTTCAACGCAGACACAGGGATTTTCACCGCCCCCAAATCGGGTGTGTACGTCTTTGACTGGACAATATTGACACAACAAAATAAATACGCCTACACCGCTCTCTATGTTAATGGTAAAATAAAGATGCACAACCTTTGTCATAATAACAGTCATTCTATCAATATGATATGTAGTAAAATGGCGGTCGTAAGAATGGAAACAGGAGACAAGGCTTCGATTAAATGCTTTTCTGGAACAGCATCTGTAAAACAAGAATATTCTTCTTTCTCTGGTTTCATGTTGTAATTTATATAAAAAGTTAAATATTAATAAACAAGATGATCCCGTATTATATTGTTTTCTTCTCAATTGAAGAAAATAAAAGTATCAGAATATTATATTAAAGTATCAGCATATTATGTTAAAGTATCAGCATGTAATGTCAAAATATCAGCACATCTTAAGTACAGGTCCATGTAAGAATCAGGCAATCGGTGATAAGTCGAATATTTCATATTCGGCCAATATTTTTTTATATTATTACTTGATACAGTAGTAATTAAAATAAATCATGATTTTTCCAAAATGGCAAATCCAGGCTGTGATATGTTACTATAAATAGATTCAGGCATTTATGGGCCAAAATGTCAACCAAAAAAAGAGGAAGTTCAGTACAGAAGTAACAAGTGTTGTTGTTTTTCATAAATTATCTAACCCTATTTTATTTTGAGAGGATTCTGTATCCTTCTTGTATTAGTTGTCATGGAGTTGATATCTAGGTCATATCCATAGTAACCACTGTAATTATATGTCAAGACATTTTGGATGTCACAAACATTGTGAATTTAAAACAATATTATTAAAAACAGCAAACACATTATGTAGCTTATTACATATGGAAAAATAAAACAGCTGCTCATTATTAGTTTTCCAGTTTAAAAAGTGTGGAAAAAGTAATTAGCAGTTTTTAATAAAAAGGAAAACTATTGAGAAATTTTGATAAATTGCTTCAAGTTTGACAAGATTTTTTCCTAAATCTAAGTGCATTGTGTGTAAAATTTAACTTTTATTGAATTGTTTCTTAATTACATTTATCACATTATTATGAATGTTTCTATTCAATGTACCAAGTTTACTCTGGAATTATTTTATTTCTCTAAAATAGTTTTGGAGAGACTTATGATCGGGATCGAAATTCTGTATATTAAGTACCCAACTTTTTCTGTGCTGTTAAAACTAAGCAGGCGCATCCAGTTTTCTTGAAATGTATTACTTTTTTCATATAGTAAACATGATGACCAATCACTATTTGTTTGGGTGATTCTTCTTATATAAGCATTTATTTATTTTTTTCATTTAGTTTTTCAGCTTTTACTGTTTGTCAAATACTAACTTATATATAACAACAGAGAATACATTTTGCTACATGAAGACATAATTATTATGTATAAACAAGTCAGAGTATGTTGGTCTCTGCTAGAAATGTCCTAAAACTGTCAACTTTTGTAGATAAAATTATAAATTCATTAAGTTCTTTGACTCCTTCTAAATCATACTACATGTATATGAAAGGAATGTAAAGGATTTTGTTCAACTGCAGAAAATGATGCAGCTGCAACATTTGATTTACTGTACCGTTATATGAGCAGCAATATGATATTTTTAATTGCACATTTAACAAATATGTCATGTTGTTCAACATACTAAACTAAATGTTTTAATATGAAAATTTCCAAGTTTATTCTTAAGAAATTAACAATGACCAATTTGCAAAAAGGTTTAAAAATAACATGTTTATTAAATGTTAACAATTTACATGATTTATAAATTACATTGTACATTATACAAAGATCAAAATTTGTAGAAGAAAAGTTGTTACAATATCAGTTCATTATAATCATCATTCCATCCCATGATTTTCAAAAAAAAAAGCTTTTTAAACTACAGTACTTTTCAAGAAGACATGCACATTCAAATTCTGAACGTGATCAATATTTAATATATGGACTTGTGGTGCTTCTACTTTTGGATGGTTTCCGTTGTTTTCTCATATAGTATTCGCCACTCTAATCTCAACTGGTATGCTATTCCCTTAATTTGTTTACAAAAGTTAATGAGCAATGTAAGGACTAAAGTTCTACCTACAATACTGTCACTAGCTTTTATGATGGTTAAAGACAACAAAAGGCACCAGATTCACTGCTCGATGTGATTTTAGTAAATTCTTTCATTCGTAAAGTTTGTTTCCTTGTTTTTTACTAAATTTTGAAGTTTGGACAGGAGAAGAAAACCTCGACTGTTTGAGAAGACCAAAGAACTCTTCTGCAACTTGAACTGGTCTGAAAAATTAAATGCAGTGGCATATTACCCAGTATTTTAAACTCTGATAAGCATAAAATTTAATATTATGAAACAATTTAATTACTTATCTCTAAAAAACATTTTTAAAGTCTTCAGCAAGATATTTTTTTTATTGGTAGTTTAAAATAAAATAAATATCTATACCCATTTTATAAAATGGGGTTCTCCTAATTCATAGGAAGGATTTCCAAGAAGAAAAAAATTACACCCAACTTTGAAATAATTTTGAAAAAGACCAAAAATTAAGGCACTTAAAGCTTAATGGAAAAAAGCTTACTTATTATTTTTGGTTGACATCAAAAGGGTTTTCCTCACTGTTAGCTTAAAAAACTACTTACCGGGTACTTGCACATGTTGCATCACATGAACTCCTTTTTTTGTGAGAAGATATTTTCTATATTTCAGCAGGATTTCGGGAAATAAATCCATAAATGTTAGATATATAATTGTGTCTTGAAATAACCACTATCAAGTGTTACATAGGCTATGTTGTTGTTTTCAAATCGAGTGTCGCATGACTCGAATAAGTCCGCATTTCCTCGCCAACATGACTTTATGATTGAGAGTTTCAATAAAACTGCTGTTTGGCAACGATTGTTTAAAGTGCGTTGTGTAACACGAAGACCAATTTCTTTGAAGTCTGTTATAAACTCTTGTGCATCTTTGAAAACGCAGTCAAACTGTAAAACTATAAGGTATCACACCGGTAATTGACCAATCAAAATGAACTTAGTCAATTGTAGTTCCATACATAATAAAGAAATATTTTTTTTATTGTGAGAATTTTTTTAATTTCCCTTATTCTATTTTTACATTTTTGGTATCTGTGCTTAGGATATTTTATGTACTTTGTAAAATGTTAAAGGTTTTTGACAGGAACTATTTTTTTCGGGGCATAGGAGGCCACTTCCTGGGGTGCACACAGGATGTTTATAAACACATTGAATACACGTGGTTTTGAGGGTATTCCTGTTTGCGGATGGAAAAAATCAGAAAATGCCGTGTAGGTACCCTATTTTTTGGTGTCAGCTGATGTGACTAGTAACGTTTAACACTTCCTGCTAAATATTTTTTCATGAATTCGAATACCTGATTTTTAATGATTTTTTTATTCTATATAGAATTACATAGTGAAAACAATTACCGGTGTGATACCTATAATAATCCTGCTCAAATCCGCATATGACAACAGACAAAGTTTCGAGCAACCCGAACCCGATCAAATTTGACACCCACTGTATCGCTAGATTTCAAGGAAAAAGATGTTTAGTTTGAAGTTAGACATTCCTTTTCAGTAGATTAATTAAACCAAAATAAAATGCCAAATTCGATGTTTAATCAATTTGATTCTGTTTTTTCGGCATCAGCGTACTTAACAACGGAGCGCCCTCAAGCGACAAATTAAGTCATAAATCAAGAACGATAACTGAAATTCACCAATATTGGAAGTAATTATCGCGGTAGTAAACGCTAGACTCGCAATTTTCCAAACTTTTTAAAATTTAAAATTATAATTTTTAAATACCTGTTTCGTTGTTCATTATCACTTTCTCTCATAACGTTTGCTGTTTTGATTTTTTAAGGTTTCAATATCCATACCATTGTATAGATTTGTACTATTCATGTTCATAATATTTTCTCAATATATTGCATATTAAATTAGAACAAGCCTGGATATTTCCAAATCATTGAACATATGTAATACATATGTCCTGATGCATAACCAGGTGAGGTTTCAAGTCAATTCTCAAACACTGACTTATCACGAAAATTTGATTTTGCCTGATTCTTACGTGGACCTGTATTTAAAGTACAAGCATATAGTATAAATGTATCAGCATATCTTGGTCAAATTATCAGCATACATGTATCATCTAAACATAAAAGTTATCCATAGAAGGCAGTTGAGGCGTTCTAAATACATTGTTGTAGGAAGATAGAACGAAAATTAAGATTTGATTTATTGAAATACATGTTTCTTATATAGTTCTAAAGAAAAAAAATTGTATCGATACATGCACTTAGTACAGTAAAACTTGAAATAATCACGAGGGTAACTACATGTAACTGCAAGAGAGGGTAATTTCTGCTAGCATATATTCGACAGCTCCAAGCTCACGGACAATTAAATAAAGAAGATAAAGATAACGACAGTCAAAAGAAAATTGAACAATACCAATCTGTGAACAGGAAACCTGTGGACGCATCAGGTGCGTAGGAGGAGTGAGCATCCCTTGTTGACTGCTCACACCCGAGTTTGGCCCATTAATCAGATAGACAGAATATTTCATAGTCAAATTTAGTATAAAACAAGGGCCAACAGTATGTATGAAACACGTCCGCTAAAAAAATAACACAATGCTAGGATATATTTGGTAAGTCATTATTAAACGACCATACAATTTACTACTGATTAGCAAAATTCTGGTCGCCCGAGTGGTGCAGTGGTAGAGCGTCTGCTCTAGACTCGCGGAGTAAGGAACTGATCCTTACATCGCGGATTCGAATCCACTACGGGGCATTGAGACCGGTTCTTCGGATGAGACCATATAAACCGATCGAGGTCCCGTGTCGCAGTAGGTGTTTGCATGAAAAAGATCCCTCATTGCTCAATGGCACTAAGTGCCTAAGGTATAAATTTGCAGCACTCCACCGGCAAGTGATGGCGTCTCCATGTGAGTGAAAAATTATTGAGAGGGACGTTAAACAACAAACAAGCAAACAAATCAAACGAAATTCCGACTTTAAACAAGTTTGCTGAAATTTCTGCACTTAGCTTGCTCACAGTTTGATCTCAATCTCACTTTTACAACAGAACTTTATTGGTAAAAAGCGAAACTGAGACCAAGAGTGAGTTTATTCAAGTTTTTACGCCCGAGTTAGGTTTTGCAATCAATATATATTTTCATTGTGTATGTACATTTTTTGACCTACCCGTCCGTGCTCTGGTGATTTTAGTGTCGTAGCTTTCCACTCACTTTATAAGCAAACTAAATTAGGAATGCAATATAATTTCTTTTTCATACCAAAGTGTATTTATTCAAATCATATTCAAAACAAGATTATGCAACGTCATGAGGGAAAAACGCTCAATGAGACAAATAAAATTACATGCAAATTGTAAGATAATATAATTTTCATCATAATTTGTTAATAATTGTGCAGCACATTCAGGTACATACATGAAGTCCATGTGCATATATAGAAAAAAAATGCTATGTTATTATGTTGTCTTTGCAGAGGAAACACACTGAACAAAAACGCAAGTATATATCCTGTATCGTTTCTCGTCAACATTAAGGTTCATCGATATTCTTATAAAAAAGTTAACTCATAATGACATAAATGTCTATTATACCTTTATTATCTTGTCAAGTTGAAGTGTCTTTTTTGTCCAATTTTGCCCCGCAAGATATGCTATAATTGTTTGTATTTTACTTTAAAAATACATTTATTTTGGAAAATCATAAGAATAAAAAAAACCCATTTTATATGATTGAGCAGAGGGTTTATGAACCTTAATAGGAATCCTTACCAAATGAGTTAAATATTGTAATATAATTGGAAGCTACGTACCATGTCACCAAATACTTATAAAGTCAGAAGTCTCTCTCTATGTAACCGATTTTTTGTAATATTGAACAGAAGAATGGAATGCGACAGGTCATGTTAACATGAATCACATTTGGTATGACACTGTACATGAAATACCTGGTTATTTTCTTAAAATTTATTTTTATAAGACGTATAAAAAACACGATAGACAACTCTTTGCGTTTTTGACCCGAGTCCAAATATCGCTTATATATCGCTTAGATTTTTACACAATTATCATGTATTTTGTTAAACCTGTACTTTTACAATTAACTGTTTCGTGGGTCAAAAATGAGCACGTGGATTTGTATGCCTTCTTGTTGGTCATCTGCAAAAATTTGTTTTATTTTGAAGGGTGTTCTTATTCTGCACATAGGCACTCTGAGGTCGATATTGAAAAGATGAAGGTGTCTATGTGTATTCTCAGGGACAAGGTCTCAGCAGTCTGTTGGAATTCCCTTGGGTACCGTATCTCATCGTTGGAAGACATGTTTTTTTTTCATTCTCGTTGGGCGCAAAATACTTAGAAACGTCTTAAAAGAGAATGTCTCTTGCTTTGGCCTTCGATTCGAAATTTAGATATATCGATGACGGTTTATCAATCACCGATGTACATTTTTCATTCGTGCGTTGATAATATATGTACCACTTGGCTCGAAGTTTGGAAACCTCAGAGACTCAAACATTTTTTTTTTTTTTTTGTTTAGATGTTTTGCGGAAGGAGAACATTGATGACAAACTAGGAATGGGGCATTATGATAAACGTAATGACTTCAGTTTTATTATCACCAGCTTCTCTTTTTTATGTGACGATGGGCCTTTGTTACCTGCATACATGGTTTCTGTATCGCGGTAGGTTCGAGCGCAAGAGCATGTTTTGCGTACAATAGGTTTCTAGGGCGAGGCAGGCTATTGACAAATGGGTTATTGATACAAAGATATCAAGAATCTCGTTTGAAGACATTTCTGAAATGCTAAGGTCGATACGGTGAAATGCAAATGCATTCCATCATTAAGTGGAATTTCGAGTTAAAAGTTCATAACAATTGTTAGGCCATTATTTTCACATTGAACTGTCTATGATTTTCCCGTTTATCAGATCATGGCAAAGGTCTGGAGATGCTCACTACACCATGACACCTGACCCCACTCCTGTTTTCAGAGGTCCGTGTCTGCTTGCAGTGACTTTAAACATAATTTCTGTTGATTAATTTCAGATTTCTCTCGGAACAAGAACATATCTGATGTTGAAAATATGATGCCATTAGACAGGCAATATAGATGACGTAACAATACTTTTAAAGACATTGGAATGTCTAAGACTATATATTGTTATTTTTTTCTACATTGAATTAAAAGGAGATTGATATCTTCTAAATAGATACATTTTCACCTACAACCGACTTCCATTCAGATGAACATTACAATCAGGCACGTTGTTTTCGAGGTGACATGGACCTACCCCCTATTTTTTCTAAATGAATTTTAAGTTTTACTTAAAAAATTTTATGTACATTGGAATGCTCTGCGTATAATAAGAGTTATCGCGTTTGCATTATCCTTGGAAGTTTTTGGCGTGTCCAAATTAGGAGAGGCAAATGCAAATAATTCTTGGAAATGAAAACATTTAGTAAATGCCCAATGAAAATCATGCGCGGTAAAAATCTGGACCCGGTCGTCCAGATAGCGTCGTTTTTCAGTTCCTTTTAGGACGCCGTGAAAAGTACATGTGTGTTGGATAGCTTCAAATTATTTTAAGCGGTAAGGTAACACTTTTGTTTTTTCCTCATATAATTTATTTTATTTGTCTAACAATCTTTCAAAGATTAAGTACGTAATATTTTGCTATGTTACTGATATTAATAATTGCTATCCAATGCCATTGTTATTTTGTATACTATTTGCATACGGGGACAATTCGATGCTGTAGAATATTTAAAAAAAAAAAAAAAAAAAAAAAAAAAAAAAAAAAAAAAAAAAAAAAACAAGAAAAACTGACCGATAATCGCCATTATAATAGCGATGGGAAGCCTGACTGTAGGAAACGTTAATATTATGTTTTCATTCTTAAATAATTATATCAATATTGATAATTTATTTTGCTTTCACGAACAATGACTTAGTTAAATTTAATTTGGTAATAAAGAATTTCTATTAGACGGCGTCCGTTTTCGATAATCTATGTTGAAGCCTTTGTGGCCACGTATGTTTTACATGTGTAGGTCAACATGACCTCACTGCTGTAACTGCGGAAGTGATAAATCATTTTGGACAGCTGAAGCCATTCCTATGCTATTTAAAGTGTACAAGGTTTCAACTTTTGTCCGATATAGATTAGAAATGCAAAATGCAGAAATAATGATGATTTAGAATATGGCAATCATTGGAAAACCTCGCTCTAAAATCTGTGCATCGTATTTATGTATTCTTTGGCGTTACCAAGATCCGAATTTCTCTTTTATACATATATCCGTATATACAGTACAGCTCACGAGTTTCTTCCACCCCACCGTGGAAAACACACGGTGGAAAATACCCCGTGTTACACCGTGTACACGGAGTTCCACCGTGTGCGTATATTGCGATTACACCAAAGACGCACCGTGTCACACCGTGGACATTACCGTTTCATCGGGTGACCCTCCGTGTTCCACCGTGCAAAAAAATTACGGAAGAAAATGGTTTGTTTATAAAAATAATTTTAGAATTGAAACCATAGGTATGTAGGTTTAATTGCTAGAAAGAAATAGTAAATGAAAAATTATTTAATCAAACAGCTCACTATCACACATGTAAGGTCATAACATAACAGCGGCGTTCAGTGTAGACTTTGGTTCACCGTTGACGGTATACATGTATATATCAATGGAATAAATTTATTTTTATTTCTGTTGAATTCATATTTCATATTCATTTGAAAACAAAAACAACTACATGTCGATTGTGCAAATTAATATATTTCTGACGTATGCTATAAGTGCGCAGGTACAAATCCAAGTACAAGTACATTGTCTTTGAACTTAATAATTATTCAATGCCAAACATAAATACGGATTGATAATTTTAGTTGTTATTTTCTCTGTGAAATAATATGGTATTAAAGGTATTGACAGTAAAGGCATTTACAAATAATACCTATGATATCAGATAGCTAATTTAGCATCATCTGATCACTACATCGTAAATAATAATAGTGAAAAAAAAATGTCGAGTCAGTATATTATGATATTCATACGGTATATGAATAAAGTCTTATTTTGCAGAAATAAAATAAAAAGTGTAGACCACTTATCAATGAAGATACTAAGTTGCTACATGTGAGGAAGAAAAGGTACATGTACATGCAAGAAAGAAAAAAAAAAACAAAACACGTAGCATTCAGTAAAAAATCTTATACGCAGTTTGGTAGTCATACAATCGGCAAATTCACCTGAAAATCAAGCAGTTGTATGCATACATTGATTAAACTTGACATTAAGAGACATAAATGTAAAAAAATTAAATGTTTGAACATTTATTTCTGTCGAATATGTAAAGTGGCAGTATTTCTATCTGGGTATTTTTTTTTATTACTACTTAATCTTCTACGATCAGTACGAAAAGTAAAAAAAAAAATCGCTTGAACTGCCAATGCAGCATTTTAAAAATTCTATTACAAATTATATACTATTCACTTTTTTCGTAATAATTAAAAATTATTTTGAATTCCATATTTTATAATGTTAAGATACGAGAGAGAGAGAGAGAGAGAGAGAGAGATATTTCATCCTTCTGTTCTTTTTTTCTCATATACATATTATTATAATGTATCTCTCTTATTTTTTTAAAGAAATCATAGTTCACCTCCAGTTTTTATTAATCGAAACGAAATAGAATCGGTGCAATTTAGGTACAAGTTCAACGCATCACACACGGAATCCACGTGCTCTACCTGTCAATCAAATACCGGATATCGATGAATTGCAGAAACTTCTCGTGTATGTTTGGAGTCGCTCATTGGCTAATATATTTCACACCTGTTCAGAAGAAAAATATATTGGGACATTCAGTTGCTGTGGCCCTTGGGACATTAGTCACATGTTGAAACTCTAGACGAGTGTATACTATACACCTCAACTGGCTTCGAAACTTACATGTACACGTGTCGGGAAGTTAATTGGAACTTGAAAAATAAACAACTAAAGTATTTATTTAATTGTTTATAGAATTTTTAGTACAGCAGCATATTTTTTTTTAAAAAAAGTTACAGTTACAAACGAATATTTTTCGAATATTATTCAACTGTATCTAGATTATATAAAGTCGTTATATACTGTAACATAACTTACATGTACTGGTAAAATGAAGAAAAAAGAAATCATAACTCTCCATGTCGTAAAATTGTCTCTCTTTCGTTGATTTTATAATATATCATTAAAATGCTATTTTTGAAAAGGATTAGAATAAATCCTTAAAAAGGACAGGTAATACAATAAATAGGCATATGTAAATATTGATCTTTTTTTAACATGTCTGTGTAGAAATTATCCATAAAACTCATTATGAAAAGGGGGGGGGGGCTGTTATTAAACGTAGGAAGAGCACATAAACAGTATGCTTGCTTTTATTTAATGGTTTGAAAAATCTCCGCTAGGTACTAGTAAAATATAAAATCTTCAATCTAGTTTTTCATATCTCCTATGCATATGCTTAGTTAGGCAGTGAACGTATTAACAATTATAGCAGACTTTTTTTTCAAACACGTTACGGAAGAAAACTGTTTGGCTTTTTACATCATTGTTTAACATAGAACATATTGCAGAAATATCATTTTCATTGAATAGTATCATTGGAAATTTTTTCCATTATCGACGTCATTGACAATTGTTGAGCATAATTATAACGTTTTACATCTCATCGTTTACATATTGTGATTATTCTTGGCGACAAGTTTTGTGAAAAATGTTGTGCCCATAATGCTTCGATCTGTACACAAAATGCAAGTTAAATATTAAGGTTTATATTTTACACATAATTCTGAACAATTACAAACAGACACAGATGAAAAAGTGGGACATCTTCAATACCTGAATATCAACATTTCATATTTTCTGATGGGCTGGGCAGAGATTTACTCATTACACAGAGACTACATCGGGTCTCATCTCAATATCAATACGGGACGGAAATTTAAGTCAATCTTTTCATAACTTTTTTTTTCATCCGATTAAAATCAAATTAAACAATTATGTTTTCTGTGTCGTATTTTGATGTAGTAATTATTAACATATACAACAGTTTCTACAGTAATTTATAATTAAAAAAAAGTACGTCGGATAAGATAATCAATTGACAATTCCACATGGATTTCCTGAGCATAGTACGAATGCAGAATATTCCTTTCTAATTTTTTTTTTAAATTTAGGTTTAGCTTTTGTTTTACAAACAAAATAATCTTTAAGAAGATATCTTCCAAATAACACAAGATTGCTGACTGCATGGTAAAATTCTGTCTTTGTTAAATTCATTGACAGGTCAGTACAATATCGAAAGTAGGAAAATGCACGCTGCGGATGATATGCATTTCAATGATTTTTATTCTAAAATCTTCAATAAATTATTTTAAAGTCATTTCAAACCACTTAACGTTGATTAACCAGCACGGAGTTCCACGGAGCAAACGCACCGTGTCCCACCGTGTTCACACCGTGTCGCACCGTGTGCCAGCTTAGCGCTGAAAACGAAACATCAAAGACACCGACATTTTTCAAAGTCCACGCAAAAGCGTGGACCAAGGGTCCACCGTGGCCGGTGTTTTCCGGAAGATACTCGTGAGCTGTACTGTACAAACTAAATTCTGTGGTACAAGCATTTTAAATAAGTAGCAAAAACTTATAATATATATATATATATATATATATATATATATATATATATATATATATATATATATATATATATATATATATATATATATATATATACACCAGTTAATATGTATACTAGACGTACATGTATAAATATGTAAAAAAAAAAAGAAAAAAAAAAAAAAAAAAGAAAAGAAAAAAAAAGCTATGAAATTTTTGTTTGATACGATGATCCAGTTCTGAAATTGATTATAAACTTTGCTTGTTTCTGATAATCAAGATTCTGTCATTTCCGTGTTGAAATGTGTTTTTATTCAATTTACTTATTCAATTAATAAATTAATTTGTTTACTTATTTACTAAGTTATTGATTGATCTATTTAAATTTATTATTTATCTATTTTTCATCTCTTACTTATTTTACCTTATTTGGATCAACACAAGTTTTTTGTGTTTCCCGAGGACAATATTGTATTAAAACTCCTCTATCGAAGTTTTCCTCATAAGGATCAATACAAGTTGTTTTTGTTTCCTGAGGACAATATTACAAACTCCTCTGTTGAGGTTTTCCTCATTAGGATCAACACAAGTTGTTTCTGTTTCCCGAGGACAATATTACAAACTCCTCTATTGAGGTTTTCCTCATTGGGATCAACACAAGTGGTTTGTGTTTCCCGAGGACAATATTGATTAAAACTCCTCTCTCGAGGTTTTCCTCATAAGGATCAACACAAGTTGTTTGTGTTTCCTGAGGACAATATTACAAACTCCTCTACTGAGGTTTTCCTCATAAGGATCAGCACAAGTTGCTTGTGTTTCCTGGGGACAATATTGTGTTAATACTCCTCTAACGAGGTTTTCCTCATAAGGATCAACACAAGTTGTTTGTGTTTCCTGAGGACAAGATATTAAACATTCAATGGTGAGATTTTACTCTTACTGCCTTATTCGGATAAGTCTAGTATTTGACAAAATTAAAAAAAAAAATACGGATTTAAGATACATGTATTTATCTATTTGTTGTTGTTTACATGACAAATCTAGAAAATATAGATTTCATCATATCTCTTACTTTTTATTGACAAAAAGTAAATCTTTTTACAGCATCACTAAAGAATTAGAAGTATATATTTTCAGTATATATACAATGCCTCCAAAGAGACAGTCAAGTAGGGCACGAGCGGTTCCACCCACTACTGTCAACACTAGATCATCGAATTTGAATAATCAGGGGAGTATAGACAATAGTAATGTGCAAGCATCTCCACAGATTGCCATCTCAGATAATAGTGTCACTGTAAATTCTCAGTCTAGTGTATTGCCCGAGGCCACTGAGTCAAATAAAGGTAGGGGACAAACAGGATTTGTCAGCACAGCAGTGCCAATAGAAGCTCTTGTGTCTGACCAAATCAAGGATAAGATATGGTCTAATCAGTGCATTGATTTTGTTAAACTTTTATCAAAGGAAAAACAGAAGAAGGGTAAGTTCTCTTTGCAAGTAGAAAATAGTGATACTCAGGGGAAGTTAACCATTCACCAGGTTGAGAACGATGCCGAAAACAAGTCAAGTGTTTCCTCTATGCATGACTGGATTACAGCTTGGAACAGGTATGCAGCAATATATTGTATAAAATATCCTGAACAGCAGTCAAAATTAGCCAAGCATTTAGAGGCCGTGAGAGATATTGCTGATGCCAAAGGTAATTGGAAAAATTACGATGCAGAATTTAGACAGCTTGTATCTCAAGGACAAGTTGCATGGGGTGATGTTCACATGGATTCGTATGTAAATGCTAGACTCAAAACTGATCTATTGACAAAAGTAAGTAGTGAAAATTAAGACGCACCGTCAGGGCCCATCCCAAAAGGGGCTTGTTTCAATTATCATGCAGGTAAGCAGTGTCGTGCAGGTTTATCCTGTCGTTTCCAACATATGTGTTACAACTGTGGTACCAACCACCCATTTAATCACTGTAACAAACAAACACAGCAGCCCTTTCGTTTCCTTAGAAAATTCTACACCCAAACAAATAAAAATAACAAAGAATTTACCAACCCTTCTAAACAAAGGAATGACACCAGTAAAAGTAAGTAGACTGGCAAAATGGTTAGCTGGATATGATGAAGATGAATCCAAATATCTAATAAATGGTTTCTCTAATGGGTTTTCGTTGGGTTTTGTGGGTGAATGCCCTGGTATTGAATCAAAGAATTTAAATTCTGCTTTCCAAAACCCACAGGTTATATCTAGTAAGATACAAAAGGAAATTTTGGCTGGGAGGGTTTATGGACCTTTTGAAATCAAACCAATACCTGACTTACAATGCTCTCCATTAGGCTTAGTTGAAAAGAAAGAACCTGGGGAATACAGAATGATTCATCATCTATCATATCCAGAAAACAAGTCCATCAATGATGGGATTCCACCGGATGAGTCATTTGTTCAATACTCATCGGTTTCAGATGCTATTCAATAAATAAAAAATTGTGGAAAAGGTGCATACTGCTGCAAGACAGATATAAAATCGGCTTTTAGAATTATCAACATGCATCAATCACAATTTAAGTATTTAGGTTTCAAGTGGAATAACAAATATTATGTGGACTCCTGCTTGCAATTTGGTCTTAGTTCTTCTTGTAGAATTTTTGAAAAATTTTCAACAGCATTACAATGGATAGCTCAGAATAAACTGAAAATATCTTGCATATCCCATGTTTTAGACGATTTTATAATTATTAATAAATCACCTACTGAATGTGTTAAACAGTTGAAGGCATTCCTCGATATGTTGATGGATATAGGGGTCCCAATATCACTTGAAAAAACATGTGGACCCAGCCAGATCATAACTTACTTGGGATATGAATTGGATTCAGTTAAAATGGAATCTAGGCTTCCAGATGATAAGATCCTTAAGTGTGTTACGAAAATTGAATCAAGTTTACAATAACAAAAATTGACACTCAAGGAATTGCAGTCACTGATAGGTTTATTGAATTTTGCATGTAATGTAGTATTGCCCGGTAGGTCTTTTCTTAGGAGACTGATAGACTTGACTGTTGGAATTAAAAAACAATACTATAAAATTAGAATGACAAAGGAAGTAAAAGAAGATCTAAATGTTTGGCTGAGTTTTCTTTCAAATTACAATGGATCTACCATGTTTTTGCCTGATAGGTGGTTAAATTCTACTGAAATAAAGTTGTATACTGATGCATCAGGGTCTATTGGATATTCTGCAGTGCTTGGTAGTCAGTGGTTTCAAGGAAATTGGGATATTAATTGGAGATACCAAAATATTGCTATTTTGGAATTTTATTCTATAGTACTTTCTGTGCAAACGTGGTCAAAATACCTTGCTAATAAATGTATTTTGTTTAACACTGACAATCAAGCAATGGTTCATGTGATCAATAAGCAAACAGCTAAGGATAAACACATAATGTTTTTGTAGAGGAAACTGGTGTTAACCTGTCTAGAATTTAATATTTATTTTAGAGCAATACATTTGTCAAGCAAAGAAAATTTGCTATGTGACTATCTTTCTCGTTCCAAGGTACAGCAATTCTTGGAACTGGCTACTTGGGCAGACAGACATCCATTAGAGATACCTCCTCTTCCGCCTTTTCCATCTTGATTGGCGTTCAGGGGAAATTACCAACCCTGGACATTTCAATGGAGATAACCTTTTAATTTCTGATACAACATTTGGTTACAAGTTTGAACAGCAACTGTTTTAAAAATATATATATATAATGATATATTAAATGAAAACCCTTCATTATGCGTACATAGCAGTGTGACAAACGTTCAACCTCGGCAAGAACACGTTTTTATATGATGTCGTCGGACATAATTTACCAAAGTTAATATCAGTGTCTGTGAATAAACTTTTCGTGACATATTCAGTCCAGGGCATATGTTTATCCCTGATTTGGATTTAATAAGCAGTTCACTTGTGGCATATTTATTCCCTAGGTAGCAGTAGTTCTACTAACAAACAGACATGAGTAGACTTACTTTTGTGAATGACAGACAGGGCACATGTTTATCTCTGACTTGGAATTTTTCATCTAGTTGTACATTTATGACTCTTGGTTTCATTTGGTACATAGTAGGACATATGTTTATTCCTACTGGTTCATATGTGTGGAACGTACAAACGTTTCAAAAGGACAAGCAGGGCATATGTTTATCTCTGCTGACTTACAATTACTTTTTATTTTGACAGGTGTATCTGTACTTTGCCCCTTTTCCGGCTTCCTTTTTCTTGGGGTCTGAACTTGATTAAATTTAATTTAAAGTATAAATTTAATCAAGTACATGGCGGTTTCAGACCACAAGAAGGTTTTATATATTATGTAATCAATTACGCCACATATTAGGTAATCACTGTTTACATATCAATCATATTCATAATTCGGCTTCATTCTGTTGTGAATTTTTGATACAGATAATAAGAAGTTAATTAATAATTTTATGGATTTCTTGACCAATTATTACATAATTAATTACAAGTAATTTCTATGATTAGAGTCACATTAGTGGCAAAGTGCAACATACCTAAGTGTTTTGTTGTTTATGAAAATGGAGAGTGAAGGCGGTTTCTCAAAATTCCGCGATAGTACAATAACTGTGAGTTGGGTTCATGACAGTATACGGAAATGTTAAAGAATGAGAAGTTCCACAGATTAGTTATTTTATCAAACTGAATTTGCATTGGCAATTGTACATAAATATAATTTTATCTATTAATTCATTAGGAAAATGTTGGTTGCCCCTCATTTTTGGTCCATCCTATGTTTATGGACTCAAACCCCCATGCACTTCACCCCTAAGTAAAATTTTGGAGTTTGGAAACTTCTCCTCGATCTTTTTTTGACTTGTCAAAGATTAAAAAAAGTAAAATTATTTTCAATTGAATTTTTCAGATGTGTATCAATGAAATTGATTTTCTCTTATTTGAGGTGATTTTTCTATCATAATTTCCGTGATCGTAAGGTTCGAATCACTGCTGCAACTGACCTAAGTCGATAAAAAATAAGTAGCAACTGTTCCTTGCCAAGCGTTTGGTACTCTGAAGTGAAAGTTGCGGTTCCTTCGGATGAGACCTTAAAGAACGAGGCCCCGTGTCACGGTAGGCGTTGGTACGATAAAGGTCCCTCTCTGCTCAATGGCCCTGATTGCCGAGTAAATGTCTTGATTTGAAGTCCTTCACCAGTATATGGTGACGTCTCTATATGAGTGAAAAATTCTCGAATGGGGACGTGAAACAACATACATTCAATCAACCAATCAATCAGTCTATCTATCTATCATATTTTATGATGATAATGTTATGTTTATCTTCTAGCATTGAACATACTCAATTTAATTTAATGTAATACAGGGCATAACCAACGCTCGCCTTCCTCCAATACAGCACACCAAACAATTCAGCACGTTAACGAATTCCATGAATCTGGTAAATTAAAAATTTTATGAACCATCCCGCCCCCCCCCCCCCACACACACACACATACACCCGCATACAATTTAAAATCAGAAAATTTCTTGGAATATGTAATTCTCCTAAGCGTCCGGTGTTCGATTCCAGCATGTTGAAGGTGCAATTTGCAACATATATTACTTAAATTTTATTTGTTTTTATCATAAATGATATTTCAACATTTCAAAATCTCGAAAAAATTGAATTTCTCCATCGACAAGAGGTTTCTAGCTGCTTTCATTATGTCACCCGGAATGACGTCGGGGTGACATATTTTTATTGTTTTACTAGTGATGTCCAAAATGACACGGTCTGTTTTTTAAAGTTTACAGTCACAGTGATCTCCAACTAAAGATGTGCAATCAATATCCCCAACGACTGCAATTTAAAATGCTTCCAGATTGATTAAGTTGGCTATGTTAATTTTCATCATGCTTTGCTCATTGCGTTTGGCCAAGACTTCAAAAAAAAAAAAAAAATAAATAAATAAATACTTAAGAAAAAAAAAATCATGATAAGCTTTACAAATTGGTATCATTTAGTCATCAAATTATTGTAAAAACAATTTTTGATATTTAGTCAAATAAGCCACACTAGAAGTAATATTCAACTCACCCCCTGGACGCAGTGAATATTATACTCAACTCCCCAGGATGCTAAACAATAGTATCAACTTATCAAATAGCAATTTAATATTGTAAAATAGGTATAACTATTTATAGTACCTATATACCGGGTATACCTATATACCAACAAACTGTTTATAACACATTATATTCATAGGATTTGATGCCGTCTTAACCGGAGGCTCATTAGGCGTGCAGTGACAATTTGGACGTCACAAACGACACTTAAAATAGATTGTAACAAGTGACAAAAAGGCTGGAGCTAGGTGGGCAACGCAGCAGGAAAATGTTTTTCCACGCATTTCGTCGGATTAATATTGAAAATGTTTCTTACATGATAGAAAAAGAAAATACGGATGTGAGAAACTCTAATCTGGATATCCTGAAGCTTTTTTTGGAGTAAATGCACTATTCTCGTTAAGCAAACTTTAAATTTCGTTTTTCAATACAGGAGTATAAATTAATAAAATAATATTGCGCAATTTTTAGGTGGTTAATATGGTTTGTTTTCATACAAAAATACCCATATTGATCGTTTCATGTTTGAGCACCACTCTCTTTGCCTCGGTCAATATTGATTTAAAAGACCTGTCTAAAATGATGTGCTGTGTAATAATAATAAGATGGGTGGACTTTTCGTTGAATATTGTTTCTTGTGTTTTAAAAGTTGTGCCAATATTGACCAATTTTTACATACCTAGAATATGATTGATTGACTGTATGTTGTTTTACGTCCCCTTCGAGAATTTTTCACTCATATAGAGACGTCACCATATACCCGTGAAGGACTTCAAATTTAGATCTTTACTCGGCACTCAGGGTCATTGAGTAGTGAGGTTTCTTTAGCCGTGCCAAAGCCTACCGTAACATCCGAAGGACTCCCAACTTTCACTTCAAAGTGCCGAGCGCTTGGCGAAGGAACAGTTGCTACCTAATTTTAGGCCGTGATTCGAACACACG